CCTGAGCACTTTCGCCTGGTGTTTGGGAACAAAGCTTTCTAGTGCCTGATTTCCATTGTTTTCAGGAATAAGTGTTCGAGAAGTTAAGAATGGAGGGAGAGTGATTTTTTTAAAAAGGAAATTCTGAGCAGAGAAAAAGCAATTTTCATAATTGAGAATGTATCTGTTTTGACCATAGGATTTTAATTTGCAAATAAATTCCCTGAAAAAGAGAATGTTCTTTTCTTGATGTGTTTGTGAAGTGGATTTCCTTTTTTTTAAGGCCACATAGAAATTTGGTCAGAATTTACTTATTACCAAAAGTTTTAAATTGAATTTGGTAATCTTGTGATTAGAGTTAGTGCATAAAATCTAGCTGTGTGATCTAAATTTTCTTTGCATATAACATTTCATGGTGCATGAACATTTGAACATTGTAGAAATAGCTTTGTATAACCGGAGTTTTTCTGTTTTGGGAGCAACTGGGGTGAAGCTCATAAGGAAAGGTCTTTGCAGACACCAGGATTAAGGGATGTCAAGCTTGGGAAGAAACCTAAAGCAATTTATAAGCAGTTCTCAATGCAGTCAGATGAGATGATTTGATTTAAGAATTTTTTTTCCCAAAGAAATAGCTTTGCTGCACCTGAAATGTCAGGAAATACAGCACATCTTTTTTTCCCCAGTGTCACATCCTAGCTGCGGGTGAGAGGACCCTTCTGCCATCGCAGCTGGGACATCTGCCAGCTTGCGCTCTTGTTTCCAGCATTTGATCCTGCCTTTTATATGTTTGCACAAAAGTTTCCGACTTCCCCTGGCATATTGTACACAGCTCTGTAAGGTCCTACTAAGCTTATTCAGTAAATTTATGTTTGCCAGTACCTAAGTTTGAAGGGATTGGTGGAAGGTATCTTGAATTCAACTCTTTGTGACTCCCCGAGATCCTGATGACTGTTTAAGTTTATGTCCCCTTTAAGTGTAATGTGAACCTATTGGAGGCTGTCAGAAGTAGGAATAGAGGTAAAGGTGGTGACAGAGGAAAATGAGACATTGATCTTGCGAGCAGGAGAGGAGGCCTGGATGGGGGATTCAGAGCTGAGTTCTAATTCTACGAAGTATTCCATCCATCCTCTGGCTTGACTATGCATACCTTGCAGAAAAACTTTTAAGGGCTTTTGATGTGACACTAAGTAGCTAATTCTTTCAAATGTACCTGGTAGGTACTACCACTGGTCATTTACAATAAATGATCAATCCGATATCTTTTGGAATATTAAAAATGCACATGTTGGTTCCATTGTATCCAGAGGACTTAAGCACTGTGTCTTTTCTATTTGGGATAAAGGATTTGTCTAAACTTTCTTTATTTTATTATTAGTCCTAACTGGTTTAGGATGACATGGTGTCAGCGTGTGGACGAGGTGCGTGAAAGCAGGGCCACAAAAGCTGCTTCATCTGCTTTTCTTATTTCAACCTAAGAGGCGCATGGTCTTTATTTGTGGTTAATTATGCTCAATTAAGTTGTTTTTTTCTTTCTCTCCCAGATTCTCGGAATTGTCCCTAGTTTGAGGGGAAAAAAAATTGATTAGTCCCATTTCTGCTGGTGCCTCATGAGCCCTGCACTCAAGTACAATGAGGTCACTTTGTTGAAGAATTAACTTTATATTACATTCTTGCAGAGTAGATGTATGTCCCTAAGGTATGACTACCCCTGCTGATGAAATAAATATACCATTCTTTATGATTCCTCCCTGTTACCCTCTCTGTTGATTTTCAGAGATTTTATGAATAGTTGCATATTTATACAAGTGGCCAAAAGTATACTACTTATTTTTCTTATGGTCTGTAATAACCTATGCAAGGTTATTAAAGGGTATACAGACCCCTTTTAAGGAGTACTTTCTTATGTCATTACTTTATACAAGCAGGTCAAATTCCATCTCAGCAACAATCGCTTGCTCTTAACCTTTTTCTCTGATTCTAAAAGTAATATATGTTCATTATGAAAACATTGAAAATACACAGAACAAAGAGGAGGAGAAAAAGCACATTCAGAACCATAATTTAGAAACAACCAATACTCAGCAGTCTAAACACAGGCACATTTTCTTGAAATGTTCATTAAAAAAGTAAGCAATTGTACATCTGTCCCTATACTTTTTAGTCTAGCAATAAATCATATGCCAATAAATACTTTCCTGTGACATTGGTTTTTGAGGATTGCATTCTATGCTATTCTAATCTGCATTTTACTCTAACTCCCTCCCACTCAGTAATTAATGTTTTTTCTGGTTGGTGCACTCAGAGAACTCATCAGATTTTTTGAATTTAGGACACTGTTTTGTCTTGCATATCGTTATGTTAGCATTGTCTGCTACCCTGGGCAATCCCATTGTAATATTCAATACCTAAATGGAGCGCAAGTCAACATATATAAAAATATGAGCAGAGAGCAAGTCATAAAGGCGGTAGAAATAAATTAGAAGCTTTCACCTCACTATTTAAAATAGCCCCTCTCCCATAGTTTACTTCCATAGAGTGGATGCTTATTTTTCTTTGAATAATGAGTTTAATATGTCTAATTCAATACTCTTGGTGGCAGCAGAATGACTTCTCAGATCCTTAGCTATTAGTTCCATATGATATTTGAATTGATTCTTTTAATTACTGTACTAAGTGTCAGTCATTCTGCAGTGTGTTGGCCTCATAGCCAGACTATCACAGACCCTCCCTTCACCAACCATATATCAGTCTTTCAATTAACAGCCCGTGGCTTTCTAGACACAATAGGAATTCATTATGCATACGATTGAAGGGGCGGTCAAGAATTCAAATTTTATTGGTCGCTTAGTCTGAAAAAGTAAAGCCAGGGATTAGAATTTTAGGATGTTGAATTATGTTTTCAGATGCTAAAATGGTACATTTAATTGTCTAAAGCTATTATTTATGGTACAATGTTTTTCTTGGCAATTAACATTATGGGTTGGGAGGTGGGTATGATAAATAACTTAAACCTTAGTGCTCAAGCCTATCTCTCCCATTTCTTGATTAAATACCCTGGATTTTACTAGGAACAGCTTCCCTGCATAAAGAATTCTAAGGCTGCTTTTCCTCTACAAGTCTAATTTGAAAAAATAAAATAGAATTCTTCTCAAGGGTTTAGAAAGTAATTCATAAAATGGGAGGAGTAATAAATATTGTGCCTTAACTCATATAGATGTAGAGAGAGATTTGGGACACCTGGGTATAATTTTGGTTAATTTCCACAAGAGACAGGTTGAAAGTTTATTGTTTGGAAAGGGGGGAAGGTTGGCTAAATCTCCTATTTGCAAAAATGATTACATTATCCCAAATGAAAATGCGACTCTATTAAAACAACTTCAATAAGCATTGCATTCGGGAAAAAATCTTTTTAATAAAAAGTTACTCCAAGTTCACTCTGACTTAAAATCTACAAGTGAGGAAAAAGTACTTGCTCTGATTTATATGTCTTTTGGAGGTGTAATTATTGGCTTTTTACTCACCTATGTAAAACAATGTACTTTTGTAGATGGATTTCTGGCCACTTTATGCAGTGTTTTCTTTTTTTTTTTCTTACATAAAAAGTAAGCACTGTCAATCAAGGAATTTTAAGGTTTATTTCCTCTTTAGAAATGATTGATAGCCTTTTAGATTTACAAGTTGACAAGTTAAAGGGTTCTATTGGTATAATTATGTACTAAATTCACAGTCTTTCAATTTAAATGTCCTTTTAAAACCACCAGATTATCATACCTGTATTTTGAAAAGTGGGCCAGTCAGTTTGGGCTGGTATACAAATTGCTTCCATTAGCCTCGGGACCTATTTGAATTTAATACAGTTTTTTAAAGTTCATAGTAGTATGAATCTCACTTTTAAAATTTAGGTTAATGGAAATGAATTTTAAGTAAAGCATGTGGTAACTTGTGTTTTAATGTATAGCTGAGTGGAAGAGCTACAAAGACTGCTTGTTTATTCAGTAAGGGAGAAATTATGCACTTGACTACTTTGGTTAAACTAAAGAAGAAAAGAAAAGACATTAAAAAACGACCTGCCTACTCATTACTTCTCGAATACTGGAATACAGATAGTGGACAGAATGCCATCTTTCTCATGTTCTCAGATGACACAGGCTGAAAATCATTTTTGACCCAGGGAAGAATTCTGAAAATGATAGGGCCATGTTGACCATAAGGGCACAACACGTCTCCTGGTCTCCAAATACCATTATAGGTTTGCTTTTCTTGTAGTCTATTTGAGAATCATTCTTAGGGACTTGGCTGCTCTAAGCTCATCTTCCACAGAGGCTGGTCTATTTGTCGAAATAATACCAATATTGGTGAGCAGGTCTGTCATTTCAGATATGAAGGGTATGAATCGAGCACATCTTCAATATCTTTCTCTGTAGACTCTTAGGGTCTTAGAAAGCACCCTGAGATACTGTATCAGTTGAGGTCCACTAGCGATTTCACAGTCTGTGGATACCCACAGACAAGCCTCTAAACTGCAGTGAATCCTAAAACCTCACATCAAATACCATTTTACTAGCTGGGTGTGGTGATGCATACCTGTAATCTCAGCTACACGAGAGGCTGAGGTAGCATTCTGAGGCTGACCCAGGGCAAACTGGAGACCCTATCTGAAAGACAAACTGAAGCAAAAAGGTCTGGTGGCATGACTCAGGTGGCAGAGCACCGGCCAAGGGCAAGGTCCCGAATTCAAACCCCAGGACCACAATAAAAAAAATTTGTTTTAACTTTGTATTTGTGAAAGTGTAAGGAATATGAAATTTGGCCTGAGGAGTGGTGTTCAAGACTTGTTTCTAATGCTCTTTTGGGGAAGTCCCATTAGTAGGAAGTGGCAGGAGCAGATGTCATCAAAGACAACATTCCTGTGATCAGAAGTACTCAGGAGACTTCCCAGTAACTTCCACAGCACCACTGTTGTCAATCACATCTGCTCTCTTTTCTGAAAATGTTCTAACTTCCTGACTTCTTCATTGCAGCACTCAACGAACCCACCATCGACTACGGTTTCCAGAGGTTACAGAAGGTCATTCCCCGGCACCCTGGCGACCCCGAGCGTTTGCCAAAGGTCAGGATTCCTCCTCTTTGGGGTATGGTTTTTGGAAAGGTAGACTTGAGTGAATGGCAAAAAAAAAAAAGAACTCTGCCAAGGATAAAAATTAGCTCCTAGATAAAGGACTCATGTTTTTGAGCTTTGTTTCTTGGGAACCATAAGACAAGCAACAATCAGAGTAGTGAACACGTTCGTGTATGCAATGCACTGCTCTCTGTTTTAACACTTATTTACTGTTGAAGGTGGTACAAGTACCACTTCTATTTTAGGGAAGAAAATAAGGAATCGACAAGAGGTTAAATAACTTACCCAAGGTCACACAGCATATAAACCGAGATTAGCTCTAGGCTAATGAGTGTATCATACCAATTCTTAAGAAGCAGAAGAGAAGCAAATTTTTACCTACACAAGGAAGAGTAGAAAGAGTTGCAGACTGGACCAGTAAGACAGGCTCTTTCCTCCTGAGGTATCTTGCCTATTTAAGAAAAAGCATAAAAATGTGAGAAATTAAAAATGTAGGATGGAGTAATGTATGTCATACGGCAATGCCTTGTTAATTACTATCAAAGACTAAAGGAAATCCACCTTTATCGACTGTTACGTGAGAGTTGGAGACAGTCCCATCCATGTCCCTGAGAAACTGGAGCCTTGTGGGCTCCACAGGGAACCCACACTAATCATAACCAAAACAGTAGTTACAGTTAACCAAAGGGCAGCCACAGCCCCGTGAATACTCAGAGGAGACAGTGGGTAAGGTACAGAATTAGTGCACTACTCACTGTTTATGTCAATAACAACAGAATGAAGTTTCATTTACAATACAGTTGTGAGGACCATCAAATTAAACTAGTGGTTGGGAGATCCCTTTTGTGGCAGAGTCCATCTGCATTTGTGTTATTGCTAGATGCATGCATCCTTGTAAAATATTTATAAAAACGAAGCTGGCATCCTTGCTAGCTCAAAGGATTTCCTTGGAGGAACAGTTAATCCTCAAATCTTACCCATGGGTGGCTGCATGTGTCGGAAGAGCCACCTGTCAGAAAAGGTCCTTTTTGGCATACAGCTGCCCCTGGAGCACATGAACAGATGTGAGGGGTAGAGTGAGCAGTGGCTATACCTGACCAAAGAAAGGAAGACAGACAGGCTATAACGCCTGTCTTCCACGTTGACCTGGCTCTGATTCAGTCTTTGGTCTCCCAGAACAGCCTCTTTTGGAAGTGCTGTACACCTTGACAGCACTTGACCTAAGGAAGACATTATTTGATGTGTTAACTTATTCACATCTTTAAAAGGGGACCTCCTTTCCTCTTCCACTCTAACTTGTTCCTAGTGACCAATTAAATTGTCCACTTATAATAGTGAGCAGCAGTGCATTCCATCACAGATGTTCCCTGGAGAGATTTACCTTGAGGTTCCTCTGTCTATCAAGAACATGACTCTCATGCATTTCCTGTGGGACACATGGGTAATTTTTTAAGAGGATGAAATACATGACATGGGTCTATCTAGTGGGCAGTGCCATAGTTATTGCAGTGGTACAACAGAGGCAAAGACACCCTGCCCATTTCTCCCCAGTGTTCCTATCTGGGGAGGCTCTTCACTTTATATTCACCATTGATTTAGCATTTGATCTCCAGGGTCCTTTGGAGGGGTGGAGAGAATGTTCTGGAGAGTTAGATTGCACAAGGTAGGAGGCAGAGCTTGACTATGCAACATCCTAGGTCAACTTCTTTACTTTCCCATGCCCCCATTTGCTTACCGATCAGACAGCAGGGATGGTGATATTTCCTACTTCATCAGGTTGTGATTTTTATCACTGGCTTAGCATTCCACAGGAGGTAGCTTTGACTGTCTGGTGGTTGAGTAAATATATAACCCTGGTTTTTGAGAGCTCTTCACTCTGCAGAGCAGGAATTCTAATCCTGTGAGCAGTTGAATATGTGATTTATTTTCTGTGCCTCGGTTTCTTCATCTATAAAACGGATCTAATAATTGTGCTGACATCATAGGATGGCAAAAGATAAAAGAGGCAATCCCACGGGTCTGGCCCTTAATTGCCATTCTAAAAATACTTATTAAAGACTGGGAGACAGGTATGGTTTGATAGGTGAGATCTTAAGCCAAACAATATTTTTCTTATTCTTAAGGAGAGAGACAGGACTATAGAGTTGAGTTCTGTGCACTTACTTCTGAACACATTTTTACAGTGTACCTTTTATTCAGAAATACTAGACAAATAGCACAGGCACGTGTCACTTTTTCTCTGGTGGCTGATGGTGAAATGCTCAGTGCTTTTTTCCTGGGTTTGGGAAGCGTAATCAAGGACACACAATGGATTTGTGTGCTAAGGAAACACTCCACAGCTTGCATCTGGTCACTTGACCATTGCAACTATGGCTGGAGCCCACTCCAGGAAATGCTCAGTGTGACTCAGGGCAGAGCGGCTCTCCTCTTGGCTCCAAAAGTTAAGGTGGAGTGCAAGTTCAAGGGCACGGTCAGGAAGTGGTGGATGGAGCCAGCACAAGGTATTCCCGAGGCCTGGGGAGAGTCATACTCCCACTGTCCATTGTCAGGGGGATAAATATGGGCTCTGCCTTTCTCAGAATCATGGTCAGTGTTTGTCAAACAGGAGTGTTTCAGTGAGCTGTGGACCACACACCTTAAAAAACAAACGCTTTTATTAAACCCATGTGTTGTGAATAGACAAAGCTAGATTCATACAACCACCCACATACTCTGTCAAATGAAATGGTTCCAAAGACCCCGCAGACAGCTTTCCATAATAATATGCCTTTGTGTACAGGGTTGTGATTTTTTTCAAAGAACTTGGACATGCTTTGGTTTACTAAAGTCCCTTTTCTGAGAGAAGTTGTAAATGTAGACATCTTTCCCCTTTACCAAATGGGGAAACAGGAGCAAGAGGAATCCTTCTGTGTAAATTATTTTGTTTCGGAAAGTCACCCAGTGATAGTTCGCTACACACAAACTGAAAAGACTATAATTATGCTGACCCTAGAAGTTTTTTGGTACCGTTTTCCATATGTACACAGAAAAGGACAGTTTTTAAGTCACAGCGCTCTGTTCAGTCTCACACAGATTTGCCTTCTTCTCTGGATTCTGGCAAGAGGGGAAGGGATAGGTGAATCTAGGGTCAAGGTTGACTATTCTTATGCTGTGGAGGTCAGGGGGCTGGGGACTGTGGTAATACAACCCAGAAGTGTTGAATAAGGAGCAGTCTTGGGTTTGAAGGGCAGAGGTGTTTCTATTCCCGTTCAGATTGCTAGTTGTCTTCGCAAGTGGTCAATGAGCTTGAGCTCATAGGCAGTGAGAGCAGACCTGAGTCTAGGCAATATTCCTGGTTAGCCTTGACTCCAGGGAAACTGGGATGCGTTTTCTTCATGCCTATTGTGAGTCTAGCACCTTTTGACCCAGGCTTCTGCACAGTAGAAAAGCCAAGAGAGTTAACTCTCCATCCAGACACATGTAGGGGTTGGGAACCAGCTCCATGACTTGGTATGTACAATTCCTAAGCCTCCACATTCTCCTCTGTGAAGCAGGTGTCTACACTGCTGCTGTTAGGGGTTAGGGAGTAATGTATTCCTGGATAGAGGAAGATCCCACTAAATGGGAACCACTAATCCCTACATGGTGTGTATCCCCCTTCCCTTCTACAGATGAGGATCAGAGCCCCCAGTGGTGACTTGCTAAGACATCACAGCTAGTAGGCAGGATTTGAACTCAGGTCCTTGGACTCAGAAGCTTTGTTATGTGGAGTTCCCACTTTTTCTTCCAAGCTGGCCACCTAAATGATCCTGCCTGGAGGAGATTATCTTCTCTCATTCATCCATGGAGAGAGGCTGGCATGGGAACCAGAACTTCCACAGGGCAAACATGTGTTTTCTCCAAGAGCCAGTCCCTCTTTTAGTGAAAATAAAGCAGTTTGAGAAAAGTAACAAAGGCTGCATTTGTGTATTTTGCTTTATGGAGCTGAAAATATCTAGTAAATTGATCCAGTGGGAGTAATAAATACACATTACTTTATCTTGTTCTTCATGTCCTATACCCCTGAGCCTTCATGGAACAACACCACTTAATAGACTTAAAAAAGAGTAATTATACTTATTGGTTGTGTGATATTTCAGCCCTCCCAGCCCTGCCTGACCTTCGAATTTAGCTCACCGTGTCTAACTAATGCATTTACACTCATCTTTTATGAAGCATGTATAGTGCAGAATTGACTGTACAGACTTCTGCAAGCTGTCTTTCCAGGCTTCCAATCTGGTTAGGAGAATGGGGCTATCCATCTCTATATGTTGACATGTATAGACAGCCCGTATATGTGGCTCCAAACATTTTTTATCCTTTATGAAACGTAATAAAAACTATTTATTATATTTTTACTTTAAAGCTTTTATACATTCCCACATTATTTACAGCTAAACATGCAGGCAAAAGATGCGAGTGTTTTTAAAATGATTACTGCTAATGTTTCTGCTTGTCAGAAGTGCTTAAAATTTCCTGCACTTTGTCTAAAAACTTGGTACTGTTGCCTTTTAAGAACAACACATTTAAGAGATCTTGCAAGTCAGATTTGCAAACACTGCTGACAGTTTGTGATGAATGATATTGCAAAATTTGCAAGATGTTTGTCATTTCCCACAGACGACAGATTAAGGAACAGATTAAGAAACTTGAAACCCCTATGGAAAACAACCATCCTGAACCAACTTCAGCCAAACCTTGAACCCAGAGAGCACACCAGAATCTCTCACCCAGGTTCTCCCTCCCAACTTCCCACTCAGCCAGTGGAACCCAATTGTTTCAGTGCATTTTCTCTCACCATATGGTATCCTCATTACCATACACTAAGAGTCCATATGGGAAACTTGTGAAATGAACTGTACTCATTTTAACTGCCAGATGAGCAGCCTTTGCTTTGCAAGCCTCGCTTAAGTCATCTGCTGTCTTCATGTTGTTATGGCAACATGGCACCAATAAAAATTCTAATCTACTGT